CGATAACTGGCCGGCTCCTGTTATTCAATAAAGTTATTTGTATCTGGTGTTAAGCGTGGAGCGATTGTGCATGCCAAACTAACCTTCGGAAATAACGTCGCTTGCAGCATGCACCGCATTGCATCCACACTCCTCAGCCGCATTATACTAATGTCCTTTCGTGCGCACGCAACCTTAGGTTCAGTGCTCGCGTACTGAAGGTTCAAATTTATTTGGGCAACTAACAGCTAGAAAAGCTAATCAATTTAGACAGACATTTCAAATTGTACGATGAATTGCTAATCGTGAAAGCTGTTCTGGGAATGACCGTAAGGGGGACGCGGAGAATAGTTATTACCTATTTTGTTTGCCGGTAGCACACCGCTTACCTCCGCTTCATATCTAATTTCATTCTTAAGAGTGACTGGAGTCTTCAGGAAATACAGTTTATTGAGGAAAAAGCATTCATAATTGATCTATATTTAAACATACGAGGATTGTAATGTGCAATGTTGGCGTTCAATTTTACACAATCAGTGCGTTTTAAAGCAAACAGAATGTAGGTAGATATGTATATGGGTGCAAGTTCAACCAGTCTCAAACTCTATTTTTTATAAAGATTTCAATATTCTTTTTCCTTTCTTTTCATCGTCCACTGCTGGACAAAGGCCTCCACCAAGGATTTGAACAAAGACCAGGCGCTTCCCGTAACCTTCACCAGGTTTTCGGTCCAGCAAGTTAGAAGCCTGTCTTTGTTACAATTTCGGATAACTGGGACATGTAAAGGTGACTGATAAAGAGGAATCCCTTCGAACGTAGAGTCATCACGAACAAAAACAATACTAGGCATTGCCGTAAGAACATCAGTGTTCACTTAATAGTACCTCGTAAATATTGATAGTAGCTAATTGCTAGAACAATTATTTCTGTGATCTCTATGTGCGACGTGTCTCTAACGTAGAGAACAATGTTCTCGTTAGAATTACTTGTCGTTATGTAGAGTCACAAAACATTGTGAAGAATTCTTACATAGGTTTACAGTACTTAATCTTAGTCAAGGAATCATTATCTACATAGATGGTAAAACTAAAGCGTACGTAAATTACAGACTCTACATGATTGACCATTACTATAATCATTGTAAGTACTAAAATGCTGTTGTCTACTACACTACGAGTATAATAAGTATAATCAGTCTGTGATTCTGCCTATAAACAATGCTTCGTTGTAGATAAGCAAATAACGCACGCCATTATAGCCAACAAACTATTAAACAATATTGCTGCATACACAAACCTTAATGTATTTTTCAATCATATATTTTTAGTATTGATTTGGAGCGTTCAAAAATTATCGTCAGCATTTTAATACCTAAAGATAGAGATCGCTTCCTAAGATGAAACTTCCTAAACTGTGCTTTCAGAACAATGATAAGAGGGCAAAAAACATGTCTTATGCCCGTTTTCACCATCAATCCCTAATTTTTAAGTGACCCCTATGGTAACACATAGCAGGAATTTTGTTTTCTTAAAGAAACTATTTGTTAAACTTAATAATAAGTGAATTAATATTTAACGCACGTTTGATCGCTCATTTCATCCGTAATAGGTTTAACTTATATCATTTTACGTCAAGTTCCAATAATTTTTAGCCGTCCAATATTTTTCCGCACTACTTGTAAAATGTAATACTTGATCAAATTCCGTTTTCATAATATACGAGTATGTATAGTTAAAGTAAAATACAGTTTGTAATCTAGCCCGTTCCTTTTATCAACAAACGTCAATGCTTATCACTGGCGTCGGGTCCAGTGACGTCCGCTTTCGATTCAGAAAATACCCTGCAGCGCCACAATGTTATCAGCACGGTGTCTGAAACGGGAACTAAGGCGCCAGCGTGAAATTACGGCCCAGGAGTATCGCTTTAATCTTTCAAGAACTGTATTATTTTCTACCAATGTAGAAATTTTCTTGAAATATAAACTAAGGCTGAGTTGCACCATCTTACTTTAACTTTGACAAACGTCAAAAATCTGTCAAATTCCATACAAAAACCACCGGTTATGGTCATAATTACGGTCAAAGTTAGGTGGTGCAATTTAGGCTAAGTTATTCAAATTATTAGTTACGTTTGATTGATAAAGTATGTACAGTCAAAATCAAACAGCTCATGACATCCAAAGTATTCCAAAGTAGCCAAAAAGTTCGCAACACGTCCTTGTTACACTAGAATAAGGTTTATCAGATTTTTGGTCACTTTGGGTGTCACAAACTATTTGACTGTACATAATAATACAGTAAGTGAAAAAATAATGCGCTAAAAAAACATTTTGATCGCTGTAAAATTCTTCAAACACTCATAAGTAGATTAGCTCTAACTAGCTAACTATTATCTTCTTTCACGCTTATAATAGAGATCGTTTTCTGGAAATGTTACTATGTTTCTCAGAACCATGAGTCATGGTGAGCACAATTCAGACTTTTGTACGGTCAACTTTTTGCATCGATGACTGTTAGTCATCGGGCTAGGGATAGCTCAATTATCAATGAAGTAATCGAATACGTAAGAAACATGTGAATGAGTTGGCCATTGAGGAAAACAAAAAAACGTTTTAAGTTACGAAAAACTGACTATCGTCTTAAACTTTTAAGTTTCAGTTACCTAACTTCTGCGGTAGAGACAATGTAAAATCGTGATAGTGTTGTATAATTTAATCAAAAATTGATGTTACGCTACCTGTAATTATAATAATTATAGTAATAATCAATCTTATAGTTATCAAAACGGATATAGATTAGAATTTCCTGCCAATAACGTAACAAACACTATCACAAGTATCACAACCCGTCCTCTATAAGAAAGTGGAAATTCGAATACTTATTTACCTATCTCGCTGCGTTTTTGGAATAACAATAACCGGTCATAGAGCAATTAATCGGTATCGCGTCGTATCAAATGATTACGATTCTCGATGTCAGCGGTGGTGACGCAACGATCGCAGTGACATCACCGCGTGTCAGCTCGCGTCACACGACGCCTGATACACCCAACTTGTTGATGCACGTTCAACTTGTCATAGGCAATAAAAAAATAGAGTCAATTCAATTCTGTTTCCGTAATATGTAGCTTAAATTCGTTGATTAGGACCTCCGAACTCCGAACCCCTTTCAACAAGTTCCAAAAATTTGATAGAAAATGCATGTCCTATCTGATTTCAAGTTTCTCGTAGCAATTTCTTTAACAACATTCCCTTACTACGAATTTCGTAGCACAGTTTTCGACTACACATTTCTTTTGCTTTTTTAAACGTATCTTATCATTTTCTATGTAGTAATTAATGTTTCACGCCAATATTATCTATAAGTATGCAAAGTTCAATAATGATAAGCGTAACCCGTAACCAAACATAGGATTGCATGTGATAATAAATAGTTAGCGATGAACTAACATTACTCGGAAGAAACACAAGTAGGTAAATTGATAAGGCTTATATTTCACCGTAAAAACGACGATGACGTCTCCAATCAAAGTTGATTATTATTTATTAGGATGACACATAACCTACTTGTATTACATGAATTTCTAAACAACCATTTACCTGGTGAGTCACAGCACCAATTATATAATTAAGCGCAATAATAAATACAGTTAAAAGGAGTTGATAGTGATTTACATAATTAAAACCAATCAAGAGAATAAGGTCTTCATTTACTGACGATAAGTTTTTTACGTCCTATTGTCTGATGGGATCTATTGATGACGACTTGCGACATTTGAACTAGGGTTACCCATTAAAGGTTAAATTAGGAAAATAGTAGAATAAAGTTCCGATCAAGAGATTTTCGGCTTAGTCAAAATCTCGCTTATTGTTTTATTTCTTGAAAGTGTCATTGTGTTCTTAATTTCTTAACAAGAGCATGTTAAAAATATTAAAAGTCCTATTCTTACAAGTAATATTTTTAAATGAGGTAGTCATTTAATTTTTAGCGTTAAGAGTTTATAATTTACAATGTATGAGGTAGTCTCTAATTATATTGTGAGAAAGTTTCTGAAGTGGAGACAGACAACATGGTCTTTATAGAATAAGAATGAATACTCGTATCTTCTGAAGCATCTATATTGCTTATTTTTTCTTTTTTGGGGAAAACCATATAATAGGCAACCCTGACACAGAATGGGTGTTCAAACAGTGCTGAGGATGTGAACCGTAGGCGGGCCATCAATATGCGTCGTCGGAGACTGTGCGTTCGACACTCGCACGCATGCCTTGAATGCTTGATTGATAGCAACCGGACTCTCCAGTGACTCACTCTTCGATATTACATTACATCAAATGGTTCCTTTGACCCCATTCATCGGGTTCAATAAGTGAAGTCCTTGCACTAAATTCGAGCAAACTATTCCCAGAACAGCGGCGTGGCACTGAGCTACAAACAACCATATATCAACCTAGATCTCCCAGTATCTTTTGTCTCAAAGCAATTTAGATAACGGCTAGTTCACGACACGTTAAGCCATAATAGTTATTAGGCTCGTAACAAACACTTAACTGCTGTAATCTGAACCCCAATACGTAACCATTTAATGAACAATGATAGTGTGCTATTGAAATGCAACTGCATTCAACTATGTTGTATGTATTTGCATACTTTACGCCTAGTAGAAAACACATTAAAGTCAATAATCTATATCCATAATTATCCCATTCTTAAGCCATGAGGCAATTATTACCTTGTACCTTCATATGAACCCTAAATAGCGTAAGAAACAGGGAGAAGAAAGGGAACTGTTTGAACCTGATTTCAGATCCATATCTGACATGTCAATCCTTAATTTACGTTGACCTTTTACTTAACTAAAAAGATCATGAACTCCTTTTACTCATCCAAAATGGCGTAAGATCTGATTCCAACAGCCTTTTAAAATGTACCAATAACGTGCTCCAAAAATACAATTAGGTTAATATTATTTTAAGACAAGTTTACTTTTCCTTAAACTAACCAATTGTATCCTCTTTGCAGATACCACTAGATGGCAGCAGCCTGAAGCACAACGGCAGCGCCAAGGACCTGGCGTCCGTCATGGAGAACCTGAAGAAGAGCTCCCTCGTCTCCCGCCAGAACCAGAGCCTCAATACACAAGTCACGAGTTCTGCTCAACAGGTGAGCGCCATGATTTCTCTCGCTATTGAAAATACTACACTGGACCATAAAGGAAAAGGGTCAGTTAGAAAATGTTCAATATCTTTAAAGGTACTTGACCTAGCTTTATGAAATAAAGACTAAATTAATTCAAGTTTATTTTCAAAACTAGCGGCCGCCCGCGACTTTGTGCGCGTGGATCTCGTTTTACCCCCCTTCATCTATCTTACGCGGTTCAGATTTTTTCATACAAATGTTTTTTCCCGCTAACTCCCGTTCCCGTGAGAATTTTGCAATATCCTGTTGTAACTAAGCTTTAAGTTTACTAAGGTACCTGCATGCCAAATTTCAAGAGTCTATCTTACGCGGTTTAGATTTTTTCATACAAATGTTTTTTCCCGGTAACTCCCGTTACCGTGGGAATTTTGCAATATCCTGTTGTAACTAAGCTTTAAGTNAAACCGCTTAAGTTAGACGCTTGAAATTTGGCATGGAGGTACCTTAGTAAACTTAAAGCTTAGTTACAACAGGATATTGGAAAATTCCCACGGGAACGGGAGTTAGTGGGAAAAAACATTTGTATGAAAAAAACTAAACCGCGTAAGATAGACTCTTGAAATTTGGCATGCAGGTACCTTAGTAAACTTAAAGCTTAGTTACAACAGGATATTGCAAAATTCCCACGGGAACGGGAGTTAGCGGGAAAAACATTTGTATGAAAAAATCTGAACCGCGTAAGATAGATGAAGGGGGAGTAAAACGAGATTCACGCGTACGAAGTCGCGGGCGGACGCTAGTACCTAATATGTGCCTGAGTGACTAGCAGATTCGACCACGAATTCATTTCCATCGATACCAAATAGACGATTAAGTAACTCGGTACTTTTCAATAGAAGAATTTAGACGAATTATTCTTTAATGTATTTTTTTTAAATATGCTTTCAGAATACGAGTAGGCACTGTTTGAATAAAGTAGTTATTATCTGTTTAATCGCCTAAGTTTGTCTGAGGCCACGAAATCGATTATCAAATACAGATGGCACAACAATAAAGAATTAAACAAGTGGTTTATCTGAAATTATTTAAATGCGCAATTAGGAGCACTAAGTATTGATCTGCCATTGAACTATCAAAAACGAATCCGCCTAATATGCTAAGTATGCAATATGTAATAAGATTAAATATAAATAAATAATGCCAACGAAAACTATTGCAACACAACAACACAGTAACGATGTCGTTTTGCTAGCCTAGGATGCGCGCCATTATTATTGTATTATCAAGTTTATCGATTTTTGATGATAGACCATTTGTCATCTATTAACGACGATAGCCTTACGATTTACCTATCAGATCAAGGTAAGTAACTAAAAAAACTTCGATCAGTTTTCCGAGATGGGCGGTAGTAATTTACTTAATTACGTTCGAATTAATCTTTTAATCTATCCAAACACCTAACCTTAAAAATATTAATTGAAATGAATTGATCATCATTTGGTAATGCATCGGAAATGTCTGTAATGCATTACATTGACAAATAAATCATACAAACATATTAATCCGTAAAGTTTTGGCAACTTTACGACGAGGTTACGAGCCAAAACGGTCAAATTCAATAACATTTACTTTATTTTATGGGACATCTACTAATGTAATGTCTAACCGTACTAATTCACATTTTGTGTCGAAATCCATAGACCTATTTTATTTAAATATAGACAGCTATTTCCGTACCGGCCTCGGTCGGTACATAAAATGGGCAAGATTTATTTTGAAGTCGCACTGCGTGAAAGTAGAAAAAAAGATACCGGTATACATATTTTGAGGGATAAGTCAATAAATAACTCAATTTTGCTGTATCTAACAAAATAAATTAATGTTCTCATAGTCAATTCGACAATTTCATTGTGCTAACTTAATAATTTGCTTGGGCCAAACGTCAAAATGAACACACCAGAAAAATCCAAACAATCCAATTTATTCAAATCCAAGCTTGGCATGGAATCTATGGAATTAGAACACCATGCACTCTTTTGTCGCCCGATATTTTTAAATAAAATATATTTATGGGAGTCATTAGCGACGCATCCATGGCTCATGTACTTAATTCTGTTTTTACTTATTTTTTGCTCCAAGATAAAGAAACTGAAATAACCTTCAAAATATATTCAGAGGTCTTTTTGAAAATTATCTACCACACCATGGGATTTTCATTTCGATGCATTTAAATTATTTGTGGGAAGATTTAGAGGTGTTAAGTCATGACAGTATGATAAGACGCTGCCAGGAAAACCTTAAATTAATACGTCTCTTTGAGTTAAAACGGACAGCACTTACGAAGCAGGGGCTCCTAGTGTCATAATACGAACAAGCAATTAAAAAGTCTCGTTTGTCAGTCAGCCGTTGCCCAGCAGGGAAGTTGGCGAAACGCCAAAAAACATGGCGTAACGTAGGTCGGAGGCGGACGTAGGTGCGCCCTTAGTATGGATGTTACGTTTTTGATGTGTACCTCAACCTCTCTCACCAAATATCGTATATTACAACACTATAGAAAATCCTATCATGATGACTTTACAACCCTGACATAAGAATGATAAAAAACTGATTAACCTACAACTTAAGAGGTTCAAGTGGATCGACTGGACAAAATTGGTAGCAGCAAAACATAACGTAGGTTAAAGTAATAAAGACAGATTTGGTGCAATTTATCGATTAATAATCCGATTGTTTCGTAACATCACGCAATCGGAAGGCGAATAATCGACATGATAAGGCGTTTGTCAGTCATCACGTTGTAAATTATTTAATTTATATTCATAACGGGTCCACGTGGTATGTCGTATGAACTGGATCCCCCACGCTATGGTTCGCAGACGACATTCATTTTGCTTATGAGGGCTGGCACTCTGAGCCCAGTATTACAATATTATTATATTATTTATTATGTCGACATTTTTCTTCAAACTTCTCTTTATTATAAGCTTCATTATAAGGTACCTATACCTCTGCAAGGAAAGAAAGCATCTGTGATGTGCTAATGTGATAACTAATATAGTTAGGGAGTCTATATAGGGAGGGAGGAATTAGTGGTTGAAGCCATTGGGCTAATTTCGCTGCAAGTCCGCTGAAGATTAAGGCCAATGGCCTTTCAGATGATGTATATTCTCTTCTGTTCTTTTCTTATCTTCATAGGCTGGTTTACAAAACTGCATTTTATTCATAATTAAGTGTCGTTCGTTGATACGGGCCTGAGGATCAAGGTCATAATTCGTTGCATCTCGCCCACGCGAGCTGATGCTGATTCATGCGATTTGCTTCTCAATAGCGGCTGTAGATGCCAAAACAAGATACCTACACTATTTTTCTTAGGAAGTTTATATTAAGAATGAATAAGTTGGCTGTGGTAAGAGCTAAGAGCTGGTATTATGTAAATGGCGAAATAAAATTATTGTAAATTGTAACTTGCAATCGAATCATACATAAAATAACTTTTCAGTGGGTATTGCAATTACTTACCACATGGCAACAGTTTTGTAAAACGGAAGAAACTTGGTAATAATGTCTCATTCAATAGAGTGATAAATTAGAGAATTGNGAGAATTTCGTGATATCAAATAATTTGTAATAAGTAGTTTTTGTAGCTATCTTATTATCATTACTACTGTCAGCCCACTAGTTCGTGAACTGTAACATTCCCAGTCGTCGACAAATAATGTTGTCGATAGTAATTTTACGAACCGATCTCTTGCGCTATATTTAAAAAAGCAAAGTTATTTCTGTAATCCTATTTTGTCATAGCCCTGGCTTTATTTACTTCGGCCGTAGGTGCGCCAAAACGCGTGACGCTGCTCTTACACTCCTCAGCATTGGCACTGAACTCCACGATTCTAGTCTAGATAACGATTCCGAACGAAGAAGACGCAGACTTCCCTCAACTTACTCGCACAAAGGTTAATTTACTGGTAATACTTTGAACTCATTATCACAGTGCACCACATTCGACTATAATGTTGCATTTATCACTTCGAGACCGTATCTGGTCGACACGACATAAATCGCGTCATAATAACATAAACATTAATGCACCGAACATCATTTGCAGATGGTATCGAGTACCACTTCGAGCAGCGCGGCGACGAGCCAGCGCGTGCAGAGCTCGTCGCAGCGCCTCCAGCACATGACCACCTCCGAGATGAAGGCCAGCTCCATGAAGTCCGACCTCTCGGAACTCAAGAGCTCCATCTCCGAAATGAAAAACCTTAGCAACACGGCCAGAAACTTCGGGCCGCGGTGAGTTACCCACACGTCCACTATTTATGCTCCAGTTTCACAGTTTTTTTTCGCTAATCACCAACATAAACGCTTTAACGTAACACATGCTAGTTAGAACAACTCACCTGTGTGGCCTTGGCCATCGGCCAATTCTTACCCGCTCATTCCCCGATCTGTTTGCAGTACCATACCGACAAACAATAGCAAAACACGGTTCGCGGGAGATTTTCCCAAATAAATTTATGCTAAATTAGCGGTTTGTGTTTAAACTTTGAACGTAAATATAAATATCCTGTGATTTTTTTATTGTTAGAAGTGCTTTGTTCTCGTGTTATTTTAGTTTTCTCCACGATTCCAGATTGAGGAGTTCGATGGAAAATATAGTGGATCAAGATGATTTGGCGGACCGACATTTGGATATTAGGGATCTCAGCGATATGGGAGACATGAGTGATATGGGGGACATGAGTGAGCTGTCGGCTGATGGGCCGTTGGTGACTTTCCCGGAGTCTGACACGCCGCCTCCCATAGTCGACAAGCCGTCGCTGCTGACTGCTAGCACAGCGTCTGTAGGCTCCAACGCCGCCAACGAGCTAAAATACAGCACCGCTCGTGTGACCTCAGCAAGTTCGACGCGGGTGGTCACCGATGGCTACAGTGCTTCCAAGTCCGCCGCCAACAGTGCCAAAATGCGGCGACTCCAGCATGGAGACGTGCACTACGCGGAACACAGCGCCGCTGGAGCGTCACATCGACTGCTGCAAGCTGAAGGGCTGACGGCGGAACAGAAGGCCGCATACTCACAGGTTAGTTTCAATTGATCATATTCATCTTTAACCTTGGTCTTTAACGCATTAAAAAGCAGTGTTGATTAGTTTTCTTTGATTACGAATATTTTTAATGATAACTAATTGCTAATGCGAGATTTCGTTGACATAAATAAATGTGATAAGTAGATGCAGTGCGTGTACACACGTTCGGCAGAATATAAGTATTATTTACAAATTTCTATGGTCGACGAAGGGGATAACTCTAAGCCATAAAGGCGCGCCGAAGGACGTGACCTCGCGTGTACCCGACAGATCGATAGTCTAGAGCGGCGCCTCAACCACTACACCCCCAAATCGCGCAGTGCTGTGCGGCTACTTGCCTCGATAACATCGAAAGACGCCTGGCACGCGGCGGTCGCGTAATGATAAACACAATATGGCCCGCATAGTCGCGTTTGCGTCCAGGATGCTGCGCCGTGGAGGATCACCGGGGGCGGTGAGCTCATTTATCTACGGCCGCTTATCGCCGCTTTTGCCGCACCACGCTCCTCTCAGTCAGTGCCTGACCGTCGTGCGCGCGAGCACACGCGGAAGTCAATTACTGCGCACGCGCGAAGTACACGAATAGTCCGTCTTAAATTTAGACGCGGAATGTCTGCGGGCGGGGAGTCGGCCCCGTGGCCGGTACACCGCGGTGTCCTGTCACGCTTTTCTCCGCGGCCACAGAGCCCTTTGGTGAGAGTTATCCTACCCAAAAAATCCCTAACACTCCACATACTCGCACAAACTCCAGTGATCGTAAATGAATACTCCGAATTCGCCGCTATTGGCCTATATCCAATGGAAACGATAGGATGTGTAATCCGGGCCGTGACGTTGGACAGTTTTTTAATATAGTTTTTGCCGGGAGAACTTGTGAATTCAGTCGTAACATGTCTATAGGACAACGTACACACCGGTCTAAATCTCGCTTAGCGTCTCAGTAAAATCAAATATTTATTTTGTGACTCGCGTAAAAACAGCGTGCCAAACTCGCTAAACATTGTTGTGACTTCACTTGTGATAAGAACTTAGTGTGTTTGGAGAGCAGTTTATAATTTTTGGGGAAATTATAATGGGTCGATGAGTCAGGTCCGTTTCTGTTGGAATGGTGAAATTGATAGGGGAATGTTACGGTTTTAGGAGCAGAGATCGCTTAGGGCGGGCGAGGTGACCGCGCAGGAGGCAAACAACATGTCGGCGTCGAGTTCCCGGCTGCAGACGGAGGCTTTCAGCGCCGAGAAGAAGGCCATGGCCACCGCGCAGGCCCGCCAGACCGTCACCTCCAGCGGGATGTTCAGCCACAAGGAACACTCCAGCATCGCCCAGTCCAACATGACGATATCCAGCAAAAACATGTCCACAAAATCAACACTGCTCTCTTCACAGGTGAGTTTACAGATTTATACATTTTAGTGACAGTTTTTAATTTTGATTAGGCGATAAAACTGTAAGACCACGTTAAAATAACTACAGAATATAACTGTAGAACAACTCAATAATCATAACTGTCATAATAAGGCCCTACTATCGACTACTACCACAACTACCCACATGAAAAATATTGACATCTGCTGTAATCAATTGTCAACTCAGATCTTTGTTTAATAGTCGTATTATTAACAATATTTCATAAGAGATTCTGAAATTGAATTAACCGAAAATTAGCTACGATCATAATAACGGTAAATATTACATAGGTATAATTATCTACCTAGGTACTTACAGTAAATATGATTTCAAAACATGAAGATCAGACACATCAGAAGTTATTTTGAAGATGCACAATATTTTAAACCTACAATTTTGTTTATTTCAGATGAGTCATATGTTAAATGGAACAGGCAAACCTGGAGATGAGGATCTTACCAACCTTACATTTGAAGACTTAGAAAAATTAAATGGAAACTCAAACCAAGGAGATGTCGAAAGTGCAATTCAAAAATATGCATCTAGAATGAATGCTTTTATTACTTCAATCAAAAATAACCAAATAGACATGAAAAACGCCTCGGTACATTTCAGCAAACTGAATGAAATGGTCAGAAGAGCGTGGGCGGTCCCTACATACGGACACGAGCTAGGATATTCCCTTTGTAATACGCTGAGGATATCTGGAGGACTCGACATTCTAATGGCTAATTGTCTAGAATCTAGTAATCCTGACTTACAGTTCTCTTCAGCAAAACTTCTTGAGCAATGCCTTACAACAGAAAATAGAGCTCACGTCGTGGAAAATGGCTTGGAAAAAGTTGTCAACGTTGCCTGCGTTTGCACAAAACACGCGAATTCAGTCGACCACTCGAGAATAGGCACTGGAATTTTAGAACATCTGTTCAAACACAGCGAGAGCACGTGTAGCGACGTTATCAAACTGGGAGGTCTAGATGCTGTGTTATTCGAATGTAGAAAGAACGACGTCGAAACGCTACGGCATTGTGCAACGGCCCTCGCAAACTTGTCTCTCTACGGTGGTGCCGAAAACCAAGAAGCCATGATCAAAAGGAAAGTCCCCATGTGGCTTTTCCCATTAGCTTTCCACAATGACGACAACATCAAATACTACGCATGTTTAGCCATCGCAGTTTTGGTGGCCAACAAAGAAATCGAAGCAGCCGTCCTAAAGTCTGGAACACTGGATTTAGTAGAGCCATTCGTTACGTCACATAATCCGTCCGAGTTCGCACGATCAAACCTTGCCCATGCGCACGGTCAAAGCAAAAATTGGTTGCAAAGGCTTGTACCTGTATTGAGCTCAAAGAGAGAGGAAGCAAGAAACTTAGCAGCATTCCATTTCTGCATGGAGGCTGGAATCAAAAAGCACCAGGGCAATACGGAGATATTCCGAGAAATAGGTGCTATAGAGTCCTTAAAAAAGGTAGCTAGTTGCCCCAACGCAGTGGCTTCGAAATACGCTGCGCAAGCACTGAGGCTCATTGGTGAGGAAGTGCCCCACAAGCTGTCTCAGCAAGTTCCTCTGTGGTCGATAGAGGATGTACGAGAATGGGTGAAACAGATAGGATTTTCCGAATACGCGACCAACTTCTACGAAAGCAGAGTCGACGGTGACTTGTTGTTGCAAATATCTGAGGAAAATCTAAAGGAAGACATCGGTTTACAAAATGGAATCAAACGTAAAAGGTAGGTCTAAAGTCTTGATATTAAATATTTTGTGCGAAACTTATTATCTGAATGGTCAAATTAATGTTCAACTGATAACTTTTCGAAGCTAAGGTCAAATTACTGCACCATTTATTTTATCAGTTCGATACCGGTAAAACGTTCACAAATTCAAATATTACATGATATAATTTTTGCTTCCAGATTCACAAGAGAGCTTCAACAGTTGAAAAAGATGGCGGATTACACGTCTCGGGATAGGAGCAGTTTGAACGAATTCCTACAAGGCATTGGACCAGAGTACACAATTTACACGTACTCGATGCTGAATGCTGGCGTAGACAAGGAGTCCATTCGCGGGTTAAGCGACGAACAGCTGGAAAACGAGTGCCGGATCGTCAACAGCATCCATAGACTAAGGATACTGAACGCCATCAGAGGTATGTACAGACTAAAATAACCAAATGACTTCCTTTAATATTACGTAAACGAGACTATCGTACATAAACATGCAGCTTTATTTACGGTAGCCTCATAAACATAATTTTCAGGGTTATTTTATATTTAGTCTCCATTAATAATAATTTGTGAAAATTAACAAAATGTCACAAATGCCGCTAGAATAGTCAAGACACAGCCTTTTATGTTGGCTTCTTCATTATCCCGGTTGTGAGTCATTTACTTAATAACAATAATTTTGTCTCTTATTTTTAGAAGCGGTAGTTTATGTGCTTGTTTACCACTTATCACTTTTGTATAGGAACACGGCTTTTCGAGGTTAGGTATTTCTTTGCATGCAGTAGGTAAAATCTTCGTTATTTTGAAATCGTCGAAATGTAAACAAACTGCTTAAGTTTCATTGTTGATTTGAATTTAGTAGGCTACTTAACTATTAGGTATAATTTTTATATTAAAATTTCTTTTATTATGTAAGTAGTAGTACTAAGTATAAATAAATATGTATAGTAATTACGACCTAAATACTTAGTTGGCCATAAGGACTACAACAATACATAAATTACATGATAATAATATAATAATATTAGCACTGTGAGAAAAACGTTAGGCATTTGTTTTCAAGACGTACTATTTATTTAAAAACATTGTAGTGTGTAAAGCTGAGTATGTTTGTAAGCACCACTTTCTATTAATATTTTTTCACAAATTTACACAATCGCAATCAGTAAATGGAAATAGTTTGTTTACATGTTTGGCTTTTTCTAAATAAATTAGATTTTACGGAACTGCATGTTACAATAAGTAGACACAAACTGAATTAAACCAAAAAATTGTAGACCACAAATTCTTACTAAACAAAAGTTTGTAATAATAACTCTGTGCTTACTTTCAGCATACGAAAGCACACTACCGATCAAAGGCGAAGAAAACATGGAGAAGAATTTGGACGTTTTCGTCAGCTACCGACGGTCGAACGGCTCGCAACTGGCCAGTCTTCTGAAAGTCCACCTGCAACTCCGAGGGTTCACAGTCTTCATCGACGTGGAGAGGCTAGAAGCTGGGAAATTCGATAACAACCTGCTACAAAGCATTAGACAAGCGAAACACTTCCTGCTGGTTCTGACGCCGAATGCGCTGGACAGATGCAAGGGCGATAATGAACAAAAAGACTGGGTGCATCGGGTGAGTTGAAATACTTTTCATTGGAAACCGCGCGAAACATAATAACAATTAACGTCTAGTTGAATTGAAGTAAAAGGGCTTTAACAACGATCTACTTCAGCTGTAAAACACCGCCGGCGCTGTTACCTTGACCCCAGAATAGATTGCCTCGACTCGAGTAGATTTATGGTGTGGCTATGGTGTTGGTATTCCTAGTACAGTCGACAGCACATTATAGGCTGCCTATTGTAGTGTATTACAGTTACCTACATAAGATGATGCTACAGTATTTAGTCACAAAAGTCGTCTGTATATTTTCAAACGATACGATCAAGGTGCAATTTTATAATTTTGCTAAAACTTAAAACTCGTCAGTCACGTCCATAGCATAATAATTTATCCTTGAGATTTAAGTTATGGCGCATAAAGCTAAGCGTCCACATGTCGGTATCGTACGCATCGGACGTATCGCACGCAACGGATCGTAGTATTATTTATGTGGAAACTCATATAAGTGCGTCCACCTGTCCGCATCGTACGCATCGCACATCCGATACGATGTGTTTCGTACGATGCGTCCGCTGCGTAGGTACGATACCGACAAGTGCTTACGCTTAGCTTAAGCTGAATGTCTAAATCCTCAAAAATCTAATAGAAGTGAACACGGGACGTTGTTATTGTTCCTTGTGGTTCCTTGAACTCCATTTTGAAACCAAGCCTATACTGAAACTTTATGAATTTCCGTAACAAAGTATTTAAATTGTAATTCATTAATTTCCAGGAGATAGTAGCAGCGTTGGAGTCGCAGTGCAACATCGTGCCGATCACGGACAACTTCGACTGGCCGAAGCCCGAAGACCTGCCCGCAGACATGCGCGCGGTTTGCCACTTCAACGGCGTGCGGTGGATCCACGACTACCAGGACGCGTGCGTGGAGAAACTTGAAAGGTATTTGAAGAATAATACTTAAACGCTCTTTAATAATAGGTACTAGCTCTAGGTTCTAGAAAACTAACTCCTAAAACTTAGATGGTAGAATGACGGAAATCTAACTACCTACAAAATAATGGTTAGCTAAGTACGTTACGACTGCTTATTCCGTACCGTATTTTCACGGATTCGAATTGGACGTAGGCCTACTTATTGCGTAACCGCTCTTCGTATGCGGTCTTGCAAACGCACGACTGCATCATGATGTCTAGCTCGAAAGGAGTTGCCCTGGGCAGTAGCAGTACCTTTTTTCTCCATAAATGAACAAACTATTATAATGAACATGAAATTAAGACCACTTCAACATACTTACTCGTAACTGCCACAGTTTTTACCTTGATGTGCCATTGTCGATCCTAAATAGTTATTGTAAATGTGTCAAAAAATTAACTTTAAACCTAATCCTTCTTGTAGCTTCCTCCGCGGCAAGTCGAACCTCGCCAACCGGCTGGACGGGCCGCTACGCTCACGTGACGTGTCCGCTCCGAGCACCGCCGCCATCGGCCGCGGCCCGCCCAACTACCAACGCATGGCCTCGTGCGAGAGCCGCGGCAGCGATAAGGCCGATTGACTAGAGGCTACCATACACGCCCTGCCACCCGTTAGGTAACTAACATTTGTGTACTACTTAGCTGCGAACGTCAATTGTTTTTCAACCGCCTATAAGGCCGCGGCAGATTGACTAGAGGCCCCTGCCACCCGTTAGGTAGCTTTCCGATTCAACCCAGACTGTTCGACAAAAATCCCCCCAAAGAAAGCATTTTCCGCAACCTATACCAGATCTTCGGTCCACTGACTCCTGCCTGCCTACTTTAAATTAGGTCTTCCAGTCTCGATAACTCTCTAATTTTTTTCATGTAAGTAGTAGACTGATACGCATGGAAATTAAGTTTTATACTATCTTACCGAAGTCTAATCTTATTATTTGTCTTCTTTACAGACCACGACGAAGCCGCCAATCATCGTTAGAAAAAGCTTTGCCTTTAATCTCACAAAGCTGTGATCAACTTTGTAGTAGTAGTAGCACATCCAAAACCTCGTCCCCGGAGAAATCCCTTTACAGCCTACCCGAGAGACTTTCCGAGAGCAGTGACAACTTAGATTGTAACGAGACGGAGAAGACATCGAGGCGATGCCGCAGCTGTGAAGGCATTCTGGAGGCGGACGAGCAAATGCACACGCAGCTCTCTTTGCCCACGCCCATAGACGCTGCAACGCAAACAAAAAGAAAAAAGAACTTCATGGACAGATGTGTGAACAAAGTGAGACTGTGCTGATGGTCATAACGACGTGTTCGATACGAAAGCAATCTGCTCGCAGAGTGTGTATGGTCATTGACTGCCTTAATTGGACATTTCGCATATTTATGTGAATCTTATTTTAAAGTACAAAAGTGTGCACAATGTGTAAATATTTTGTGTATGCCAGTTTAATAAGTTAGTTTGAACACAGCAAACAATTGGTAATCTAAAAAGATGTAATCTCATTGAGTGCATGGGAAGATTTTACCATAATGTGACATAATATTGCTACCCTGCCATGTTTCAAGAACATAGCACGAGGTGGCAATGATATTATATGCCAGTTTTGCTATTTTTGTATTATGGCAATCCGCTTAGCATTTGTACACTCTGGCAATAATTGTTTTTATCTCTCTATTTCTTCATTCTCTGTAGAATATTATGTAAAGACTATGGATGTATTTTTTGTTTTATTTAGTTCTTGCCAATGAAGTATTTGTGAAAGCAAAAATTATACAAAATTATAATTTGCCTATGTGATAGCCTAGATCTTTTATTTTAAGACTAATGAAATTTATAATTAAATCCAATCAAAATCCACTTGAAAATCGAAATGTTTCTAGTACCTACATACCTACTTTTATATAATTTATTTCTTATGCACTGTTTATATGAAACTGCCTAGATTATTGAAAATTGTACAAAATTTTATCTTAGATTTATATACCTAGTTTTTTAATTTAGTCATTCATTTTAACAAGTTAACCATAATAACTTTACCCTGTCGAAATTATATATTTATGTACTAGCTCTAACCACAGAATAAATGGTATTAGTAAAACAAAACAATGATTTCTTTTAGTTTTGCACCTACTTAATTAAAGTAAAACTTTTTATGACTTTTCTTATGCTCATCACACTAACATTTTTCCTTTCAGAGGGGGATTCCAAATTGCCTTCTTATTTCTACTTAAAACTCAAAATGGTCAACAGTTTTAATCGAGGCAACAGATATGCGTAGCAGTACAATTTTAACAGGGGATAGATAAAAAAGAAAACAATAACAGTTTAAAGATAATTTTATTAAAATAAAATACAAATACATAAATAACACAGTATTAGAGATTAGGTATTTATTCCGCATATAACAACAAAATTGCAATGGATCCTCTGGTCCGTGAAATCCACTGTATTTATAATGCTAACGTATAATGCTGATGAATGTTGTCTAGTAGACCTTATTTTGAACATAATGTAAATAATTTGCATTGATATTAGTTGCTGAGACTGGAATGGACATTTGTATGAATGAACATGACAGTAGATTCTGTAGAAATTCAAATGCAGACACAATAACATGTTAAAACATTAACAATGCTGATGAAATACTGTATCATCATAAACATCACAAAAAGAAGTAACTCACATTTACTTAGTCTGGTCTCATATTTTATACACATTCACGATAGTGTCACTTAATCATAAAATAACTTCAATGGAGAAAGAGCACTCATCACATCCGATAACCACTTTAGCTGCCATTCCACTGCCACTTCGATCTAAGAAATAAGTCCCACCGCATCTACAGGTATACATGTAGACATCTTCAACAGGATCATAATCCATGTTTTGTATTGGTAAAGTCTCGTAAATTAACAGCTCTGAATGTTCTTGGCATGTCAACTCGGCGTCATATTGCTTCCGACTAACTGGATCCCTTAGAACTGACCAAGCTTTTTGAACCAGCAAAAACAGTTCATCGGAATTGTTCTGGTCACTTTTATCTGGATGCAAGGATAATACTAGTCTTTGATAGCTTCTCTTTAACTCTTCTGCCGATGCTGTTCGCTCACACTCTAATACTTGGTAATAATCCGGGAAATCAGTATTATTTGCCATAATAAAAATAATTTTCAAAAAATTCCATAGACTGTCTGTATTCGTACGCTTACCGTAAGTCTTTTATTTGGCACGAATTACTAGTTCAAGATTTGCGTATTTTATTTTAAAGGAAAAGAACAACTTTTGGCAAGTTTTTCAAGAAGAAAAAGAAAGAATGAATGAGATTGATTGACCCACAGATATGGTGTGGATTGACCTTATCTTATATCTTTTTTTGACACTTGAGATTGACAGTTATTAGGGATGTGTGTGATTCGGAATCCCATGAAAAAAACCGGAATAAACCAATAACTTGTAAACGTATGGACCTGCCTCCCTAGACAAGTTCAAAGTTGCACACAATAAAAGTTCTTTCGAGCATTTTTCGACTGGATTGTGATTGAATGGTTTTATGTAAGTATATTGCTAAGTGTATAGCCTGACCAGGAACATAAAAACCCTGGCATAGAGGCGCGTCAATTGCATTTGATAGTGCAACACTGAGTACAGTCGTACCTGTGTTATGAACATAAAAACCCTCGCCATGTTGCGGAAAACTAATGGCACTAATTTCTTTTAATGGCAACAGTAACTGAAAACTTCATTGACATATTGTCACCTTGCATGTCAGTCTATTGCTGTCAAAGTGTAAACAAACTTTATTTTAAATGTGCGCAATTGGTTTTATGATTTAATTGCTAAAATATTTTTATAGTCGTGAAAGAAAAGTGGTTCACACAGAAATGTTTTAAAGTATTTGTCGAAGAGAAATACTAAGGGTTCGGACAATATTTTCATTGAATAATGTTTTCGACAAAGGTTGTCAAATTGACTGACATGTTTATCATATAGTACAGTCCACTACGAAAATTAGCTGTGGTTTGTTTCAACTACCTATTTTAAATTACACTTCACTTTTTAAGTGTTGAATTTTATGGGATTGGGAAAGAAGTACCGAGTTTGAAGCGTTCATGAGCAGACATTGCAGTTGAATATTCAAGTTCTGAATTTGATTATTGATGAATAATAAAATAAATTCTACTAGCTCGATTGATGGTTTCATTTAATTTATTTAAATCAGGTTACCTATAATAATATTTTTTCGTTAATTTATGAAAATAACAAATTAGCGCGTAATCCTGAATCCTGATACATAAAGTTAGTCTATTAATTTATCGAAATGATATTTTGTTAAATTTATAGTTAGTCTGACTGNAGGTTGACATGAAAAAACGGTCATCCCTCTGCGATATGCACCGGCGCTGTTCAGAACTTGGTCTCGGGATAAAGCCACCAGTCTCCCGAAAGCGTCTTAAAAGTTTCGAAACCCAGGACTGGCTTACGTGGAGCTGACGTGCGACAGCCTGCTGGCTGAGCCCTTCTTGCAATAGTGCAACGATTTGTGCTGCTTCTGTAGGTGTAGAATCCCAGGTAAAGTGTAAAAAAAAGCGGAGATGTGTATCAACGTGTGAAAGCAAAAATCCGAAAACACGTGTTTTTATAGGGGGTAAGTAGGCCGCCGCAACTCGCGACGTATCAAACAGTTGATACATGTTTTTTTTCCTTACTTCTTCACATCAGCCGGGATATCTTTTTAAATACCGGTGTGATTTAAATGAATTTGGTATCAGTTAAAAGGTAAAAGTTTAATCTTTAAAATGGTGCCACTTTTTTTGTTACTAACAAATTCGTTAGTACACAAGATCGCGTGGAAACAACTTCATGTAAGTGATTCCATAGTTTTCCTCGCGAGTGTATTCTATGATTCGATCAAAAAGTGCAATTTGTTTCCATGCTTTATTCGGTCATGGGTGCCTGTGACTTATCTATATTTTACATTGTCTTTCGTATGGAGTTTTGCCCATGAAGCTAAAGATAAAAATGGAGGGCAGAGTTGGAACAAAAACTTGAGTCAAATACCTACTTATATCTATCTCGCTCTCTGCGGCCCTACCTCTCTTTTTAGTGTGAACTGTAGTATTGCTATCTTCTGATTTAAATCTCCTTGTAAATTCTTCGAAATAGCCAATTCACTAACCAAATCAGAAGTTAAACAAATAAATAATTNAAGGTGACATGTCAATGAAGTTTTCAGTTACTGTTGCCATTAAAAGAAATTAGTACCATTAATTTTCCGCAACATGGCGAGGGTTTTTATGTTCCTGGTCAGGCTATAAGTCTGATTTGTCCAACATGTGTTTTATGATGGTCACCCTATTGCAACAATCATAGTCAAATTTTATCAATTGAACGAGTCGCCAATTTGCCTTCGGCATTTCATAGAACAGCGAGCGTTTGTAAACTGACGACGCCGTTTGTAAAATGCGGAATCATACAATTTGCCTGCGACATATCTCACAGATAAAGATAGATGCAGCATGTGAAAAAATTTGTATGAAGCCGAGCGTGCCACTTTTTAAACGTCATTAGTGTCATTTTAGCGAATTTTAGTGATTGCCGCAACGTAAAAATAATCGTATCATCGTACTGCATTCGCAAAGTCATCGAAAGATATCGTGTGACTCGATTCGACAATTAATTAATTCCGATAAAACTGATAATTTGTTAAATACAAAACCAAAAACATCTTTATTTACCTTTTTAAATAAATTAATTCCTACAAATCGTCAAATCTCGTTATTTTTTTTACCCTACCAGCATTTCAAGACAAAAATTGGTCAAGTGCATGAATACATGGATCAGTGTGTGTCTTATTGTTATAAAAGTAAGTACGGTTCCTTGTGATCGGTATGAGTGCACCACATACACGGACCATGGTTTTAGCTCTTAGAGTACATCGCAGGATATGTATTAAAAACAATGCTACTTTATACTTCTTCTACTGCTACTTTATTCTAATTAATTATTTGTTACTTGTGCTGTTAATTACAATTCTCAATCCGTAAATAATTTCTTCTTTCTACAGTGTTCGTACTACTGTCCTCGTAAAATCATCGTATCCGATTGTTGTAATCGGATTACATGAACATCACTCGACCATGTATGTCCATTTGGACATATCGGAATGGCACGCTTTATGACGCTTTGACGAGCAACTTGCTGTATATAATCTAATCCATATCTGTGCACTTAGCAATATACTTACATAAAACCATTAAACTTGTTGGTTTAAAGCTGGATCTCCAACGCGTGATTTGCCCTACACAATCAACAAATGCAAAATTTAACAAAATTGTCTACAAAAAGTATTGAATGTTAACAATCACGTTTTTGTTGATTGTGTAAGGAAAGACACGCGTTGAAAACCCGGCTTAAAAACTGCCTGTGGGTGCACAAAGTGCACATTATAATCCCAAACCAGTTGAAGAGTGCTCGAAAGGCCTTTTTTGTATGGAGTTTTGACGGATTCGATTTTCGATTCTATCTATTCTATGATTAGATCAAAAAGTGCAATTTGTTTCCATGCTTTATTCGGTCATGCATGGGTGCCTGTGACTTATCTATATTTTACATTGTCTTTGGTATGGAGTTTTGCCCTTCTCTATGAAAAAAACAACTGAACAATATTGACCAATGTCGTTCATCAAGCTTCATTAGGCGTTATCAAACAACCAATAGCAAGCCCTCTTCAATGACACTTAGTTGGCAATAGTTTTAAATCAAACAATCAGAACTAACCACAGATTAAGTACAAAAAAAATATAAATAATGTCACTAATGTCAGATGCAGATGCACGATCGGTCGACAAAGTAAGCACAAACAAAATAAAAGGAATCTATCTAATTTTGTCTAATATTAACGCACATTCTGTGTGAAGTAATGTAATTAATTCAAGTAACGTAGATATAGCTAAGTAATTATACTTTTTTATCAGTAATTTTGATACAATTAACTTATCCATTTAGAAAGAAAACATAACCTTAAACAATGCCTACTTGGAATCAAATTCAATCTCAACTACGGAATCCTAATAACCCTGTGGTGTTTTTTGATATCACAGTGGGGACGACAGTGAGTTTAATACTATACTTATAAATTTTACTAAGATTTAAAAATGTAAAATGTAATTAATGTTTTTCTTGTTTTCAGGAAATAGGACGCATGATCTTCGAATTGTTTGCTGATGTAGTGCCAAAAACGAGTGAAAACTTTAGAGAATTTTGCACTGGAGAATACAGGAGGGATGGTGTCCCCCTAGGTTATAAGGGAGCTACATTCCACAGAGTTATTAAAGATTTTATGATCCAAGGGGGTGATTTTGTGAATGTAAGTTTGATAAAACTTTGTTAGAACCTTACAAGTATAATGAGTTGAATACAATATTGTAATAATTGTAATTTAATTTTTAGGGTGATGGTACAGGAGTTATGAGTATCTACGGAGGGAGTACTTTTGCAGATGAAAACTTTGTCCTCAAACATGATTCACCTGGCTTACTTTCTATGGCCAACAGTGGAAAAGATACAAACGGATGTCAGTTCTTCATAACCTGTGCAAAGTGTAACTTTTTAGACAATAAACATGTTGTTTTTGGAAGAGTGATAGATGGACTACTTGTAATGAGAAAGATAGAAAATGTACCAACGGGACCAAATAACAAACCTAAGATACCTGTTACAATATCTCAATGTGGTCAAATGTAAATAAAACAATTTTTCACAGTTTGTGTAATCTATTTTATGTATTAAACAACTTCAGGATAAAATATGCTATTTTCCCAATAAATTATTATTTACAATGTCATCAAGTTATCACAAAAAATACTTTTTTATGTTACGTTAAGTAACAATATCCAATGGTGCTACATTTGGTCTACTTTAAGGTTCATGTCAACTCTTGATTGCATGATTGTTGCTTTGGAGTAGATTTCTTGGCTGCATTGTAGCTGGTCCATACCTTCGGCCAACTTCCCTAATGAAAGCACTCTCCATTTGGCTGGCGACTTGATCGAAGAACAAGTTCGAAAGATGTGAGTGGAATGCAGATTTAAATTCAAATGTTATCTGAAAGTCAACAACACATGACTGCTGTTCCCTCTTCAATCCTGGGCTGAATCTCCATAGTGTTAGCATATGGTGGAAAAGTTTCCCATCTGTACACTCTGCTTTGACTAAATGTGGCTTCATTAATGTAACATTAGATGTGTAACTTTCATTTATAGGTGGAAATCCAACTATTAGGTCTGCTTTTAGGCGGGCAGGGGTTTTCAATAGCACCACAGATTTCTTACACCAGGGTACAAACTGATAATAATTTTCTACATCAGAGACAACTTCAAACATTTGTTCCATTGTATGCCTGAAACAATTGAAAATATTTTTAGTCTAAATAAAACTCACAGGAGTTAAGAATAGTAGTCATCCAACTGCTATTAAAAAATAGTACCAGCTATAATACATTCTGTCTATTAAGCTTTCATTAATATTTCATGTACCTGATCATCCCTAATGAACTGGAATGAACAATTATGTTAATGACTTTAAAGAGTCAAGTTTCATTATCCACAGTCTACACATTAATGAAGTACCTATGTTCTGTATTAATTTCTTCAATTATTTGAAGAATATAGATAAGTTAATGAGTAAGTAAACAAATGTAGGTAAAACAATAAATGGCAAGTTTTATTCATGATTTTTATATCAGTTCATTAGAAAGATTTGGGTATAACTAAGTATATTATTTAAGGCTTGAGGCCCACCACCATAATTGTGGGAGTGGAGGTCTTTTTTCTACATTGAATAGCAAACTGCTAAAGGATCTACTTACCCAACCAGCTGCCTCCCACTATATTGTCTGGTCCTATTCTGTGGTGGGAAGTTAATGAAAGTACGCTTCTGAAAGTTTGGATTGTGACACTGACCCTGGATATCTTCGATTCTATTTACGTAATGACCCTGAAAACTACAGGAAGACATTTTTTTACGCATTATCTTTGATAAAAAATGTTACAATAAAACTTTAATACTGTTCAAAACTTAATAAATAATGGGTTTGTGTTTATTATCATGGTATATTTACCTAAGTAATGCACGTTTTGGAAACAAAAATCTTGGCACAATGAAGCGACTTTTCGATAAAGCCATATTGACTCATCAAATCTTTTTTTGACTTTGCTTGTGGATACAATTCACATGGAAATGGTTGCACACATTTTCAGTTTTGCAAAATAAATTACAGGCAGGAAATTGTCCAATTCACATTTTCACAGTATCGTTTCGCGAATTTTTGCAAAATTTCACGATCATCTGCTGGTTTTTGATTGTCAGTGTCAGTGTCACCTCCAGCTGCTGGCTTTCACAGTGTCACTCATTGGTCGAAATCAGAGATATTATAAATAAAGATGTATCTGAAAATTTATTGCTATTCTGCAACAAAAATGGTGAAGCAATCACGCACGTCGTAACACGTTATAAACATAAATGTCCAACTAACCATCATCAAACCGTTTTGACTATTTAAGTTTTACACATCTCGCAAAAATAAAACATAAAATCACTCATTGTTGCAACTCTACTTTATGATCTTTTGTATGCTCAATCCTTTTTATAATCTCTTTGTCCGTTCCGTAATGACGCCTGTCAGTGTGTTCCTCCCCCCTCTCACCTGTCATAACTGTCACACACACGTCTTGAAAAACACGTGTTGCGGCGTCTGAAAGCGTTAATTTCTGAAAATAATAAATTAAAATGGGAAGAAAGGCAAAGTTTGATGAAACCAAAAAAGTGAAAAAAGGCCCTGGCAGAAAAGCCAAAAAACAGCCGGACCCGGTGTTCAAAAAGAGTCTGCGTAAGTAACACGTGTTTTACTTCAAAATGTATTTCTTGTGAGGTTTTTGGATGTTTTACGAGTATATAATTTTCTCGCAGATTGAAATCTGTCTATGCAATCTATTTTGAGCATCATAACATAGGCGTCAGCATTAAGTCTGTAGGTAGAGGTATCATTTGAATGAAGAGGCTATGATGTTAAGTTAAGCTGATTGAAAGCGGCGAGTGCTAATTTCCTACTCTTGGACAATTAGGTTAAATTTCTGCTTTGAAGAATGTGTCATTCTTGTTATTTTTATTTTTTCACTTTAACTTGTCTTGCCTAAAGATTATTATTGATTAGACATAACCTTCACAATTTTCAGTGGAAGATGAGGATGAGCCCAAAAAACTAAGTCACAGGCAGAAGCAGCGTGCGGCCAGGAGAGTAAAGAAAAGGGCAGAGATAGCAGAAAAGAGGAAGACATTGAAAGAGGCCAAAAAGAATGTTGCCAAACAAAAAGAAGTCACTCTCAGTGATGCAGAAGACAGCTCGGAGGAAGAACATGAAGAAGTACAAGGTGTGTTTAAAAATTATGATTATAATAAATTATTTACTGGTGAATACAATATAATTATGGTTGATTGGTGTCCTATGTGTTAGCACAGTATGTTGTAATGTGTCGCTTAATTTCAGGAATATCAAATATTTGGTATTTTTTTGGTGCAGTTTTTTCTGCAGTCTGTGGACCCATGCCATCTTGTATTTATGTATTAAAATAAACAAACTAGTAAACATTGTATAGAATTTCCAGACTATAATGTGTTCTGAAAAAAAATTTATTCACACATTGAATTTATTGCAGGTTTCACTGATGATAACAAGGAATGGTTGAAGCCAAAACAGAAAGGCAAGGGCAAGCAAGCAGAGGATTCAGACAGTGACAGCGGCCATGATGGAGGTTCGGACGTTGAAGAGGAGAGCGACAGCGACGGAGATGCAAAGGCTCAGTCTGAGAAATATAAGGTACAGTGGGAACAATTGAAGTTTAGGCATAATTTAGAGGTCTTCATGAAATTCTCTGTATTCATTTTAACTGTGGAAACTTTGCTGATTTCTGTCCTATTTTTTTTTGGGATTATTTGTCTGTATATCAAAATTGTTTGTTTGTCTAATATAAATAAATAACTAAAGAATCTTGTTGAAATATTACCATTTTTTGTTTGATACTCAATGGAAAACTAAGCTGCAAGTTTATTTTCACTTTTCTGACTACATTATGCTATATTTTTTTAAATAATTTATTTTTATGATTTCAGGTTGGAACTCTAGACGATCTATTTAATGATTCTGATCAAGAAAATGGAGATGCATCATCAGGAGATGAAGAAGTTTCTTCATCAAGTAAATTAGCTTACAACTCTGATTCTGACGAAGAGAAAAGTGATGAGGATGATGATGATGACAACGAAGACATGCTGCCTATAGAAAAAGCAAATATAAAACTCAAGAAAAGACAAAAGTTGGATAAGCAACTTGCTGATGAAGAAATGCAGTTGAATATTGCAAAGCAAGATGTATTTGCATTCCCTTCAGAAGAGGAATTGTTGAACCCGACTAGCTTACAAGATGTCCATCAACGAATCAAGGATGTTGTGACAGTCTTAGGCGATTTTGGTAGACTTAAGGAAGAGGGACGATCAAGATGTGAATACACTGAGCTTCTTCTCAAAGACTTGTGTATGTACTACAGCTACAATGAGTTTTTAATGGAGGTGCTCATGCAGATATTCCCTGTGCAAGAATTGGTTGAGTTTTTGGAAGCCAGTGAGATTGCAAGGCCAGTGACAATAAGAACAAACAGTCTAAAAACCAGAAGAAGAGATTTAGCTCAAGCTCTCATTAACAGGGGAGTTAATTTGGACCCTGTAGGTAAATGGAGTAAAGTGGGCCTGGTTGTTTACAGTTCCACAGTACCAATTGGTGCCACACCAGAATATTTGGCTGGCCATTATATTTTGCAAGGAGCATCTAGTTTTCTGCCAGTCATGGCATTGGCTCCTCAGGAGAATGAAAGGATTTTGGATATGTGTGCTGCCCCAGGAGGAAAGGCTTCTCATATTGCTGCTATCATGAAAAATACTGGAGCATTGTTTGCTAATGATGCTAATAAAGAAAGAACAAAAGCTGTGGTTGGTAATTTCCACAGACTGGGTGTTGTTAATGCTATTATTTGCAATTACGATGGGAGGGAATTCCCTAATGTTATAAAAGGATTTGACAGGGTCTTGTTGGATGCTCCTTGCACTGGCACTGGAGTTATAGCGAAAGATCCGAGTGTTAAGACGACAAAAGATCAAAAAGACATTCAAAGGTGTTTCAACCTACAAAGACAGCTTCTTTTGGCTGCCATAGACTGCTGTAATGCTAAATCCAGCTCAGGGGGCTATATTGTCTATTCTACTTGTTCAATATTGCCAGAAGAAAATGAATGGGTGGTTAATTACGCACTGAAGAGGAGAAACGTAAAATTGGTTCCAACTGGACTTGACTTTGGCACGGAAGGATTTGTTAAATACAGACATCACAGATTCCATCCATCGCTAAAACTGACTAGACGATTCTATCCACACACTCATAATATGGATGGCTTTTTTGTTGCTAAACTCAAGAAGTTCTCAAATGTTATTGTAAGTTTTTCTTTTTTTATACAAATAGCATATTTTAAAGAATAAAAATTCCATGTTTCATTTCATTATGTCAAATATTTTTGATATATTTTAATGTGTTTTTTAATTTTACAGCCTGAACCAGTGAAAGATGAGGAAGACGAAGAAGTGGAAAATAAAGAAGGTGAAAATACTGAAGAAAATTACGCACAAGTGACAGACGACAGCCAATCAGAAGAGCAAACTCAACCAAACCACAAAAATAAAGGGCCTGTAAAACGAGCTGCTGTATCAAAAGGAAATGAGCCACCGAAGAAGAAAAACAAAAATGTTGGAGAAAAAAGGTGTGTTACATAAAATAAATTAACTAAGGTGTAAATATGTGGCTATATCTCATATCATACGCATTCCATACTACAATGTATGAGGCCATTACTTTTATGGCGGATTTACTTTTCATCCCCACCCCACTGTTTTTTTGACTTGACTTGGCTAATTTCCGCACAGTGTAAAAACGCCTTTAAACATAAAAAAACATGTACTTAATACAGTATTAAACTTGTATGTTTTGTGTTTAGGCTATATTTAGTTATAATAACATAAAATGATCTAGCACTTAAAAGCTGGCTTAGTATTTTATTTCATATAGATATTAATTTCCTGTTATTTTTTATAGTGGTAATTATTATTGTACCTACTTGTTTTTACAAAGCTCCTGCCCTAAGTGATAAATCAGATCTTAGCAAAAAGTGAAATATCTTTAATTATGTGTAACTGTTATTCAAATCTAAGATGGTAATGTGTTTTCATTTTATAGATTGCTACTTTACTGTTTATATCATTTAAAGAACAAAATGTATTAAATTGTAATGCTAAATTTTTATTGTTCTGTTTTAGTGGGACAAATCCAGTGGCAACACCAAGTAACAACATGAAAACAAATAAAAATAAGAAAAAGAACAACAAAAATGTAGCCAAAGCTTCAAATGACCAAGGCGAGACCAATGAAACGAAAAGTGATAATAATACAGGTAAACCCCAACAAGTTAAACACAATGTAAATCAAAATAAACCAATAAATCCTGGCAAGAAAGGTAAAGGCAATAAAAATACAGACAAAAAGGCAAATGGGCCTGAGAAAACTGAACAGAAAGTAGTTCAAAAAACAGTTGTTTCTGAAAAATCTCAAGAAAAACTGAATACTAGTCAAAGTCCTAGCAAAAAGAAGAAGAATAGGAAAAATAAAAACAAAAATAAAAAACAGCAAGACTCAAACAAACCAGAAATAAAAAAAATAAACAACAAAACTGAAGTTCCAGAAAAAGTACAAGTTGAAGTGGCAAAGAAACTGAAGAATAAATTAAAGAAAGGAAAGAAACAAATTGGTAAATTGAATACAAATAAACCAGCGAAACAAGGGAATGTACAAAAGAAAAGATAAATTAATGAGTAGAGAATAATTTATTATGTAATAATATTGTTAGTTTTACTAATAAATATATTTTAATCATACCTATCATCTCCTTTCGTCATTTTACCGATATTTAACAGGCTATGATTTTATGGTTCATACAATAGGTTTTTGCGTAAATGCTTTGCCATGTCTACTGTCGATTATTGTTTTATTGGGATGGAAACGTCAAAAAAGCCTTACTTTTGACCGTTAAAGGGTTTTTAACTACCGTTACTTTTTTACCTACTTCACATGGTTAAAAATAAAAGCCGCATGAAAGAAACATGAAATATTTATTTCGTCTCAAATATTTAAAAGTAGAAAAAACTAAATATTAATATCAATTTCTTATTCAGGTATCATAGTTTCATAAGTAGCTAGATTGGAATCTGAAAAAGACCCAGAGATTCCCTCTGCTTCGCTTACGTACGACTGAAGAGGGACGCTTGCAGTTTCATAGAACTGTCTTTCTGCTTTCATTTCTATCTCTTCTTCACGTCTCTTCTGTCGGTCTTGCACATTCTTCCTGTACTTCTCCAGGTTACTGGCCAAAAACTCTATAGGGTCTGCCGGCTGATGCAAAATTACATTCGACAAACATGTTTTCAGCGCGTCTCCGACCGTCTCTTGCAAATATTTACACTCTTTCACGTACATTGGCTCTGGAGGACAACGCACGTAAAGGCATTCTCTACTATGCACTCGCACCAGGTTCCCAAAACCGTCCAGTTCGTACTTTTCACCTGTGTCCGGGTCTGTATAAATTCGACGACCATTCTCATCGATAAAGTATCGTCCGCGGTGATCATACCTGTATTCAATACCATCTCTTATCTCTCTTAATTTCAGTAACTGTCCCATATGCCCTAATTCGTATTCACTCGCATCGTCGTGTGCCTTGTAAATGCGATGCCCTCTTCTATCAACGTAATATCTTCCACAGTCGTCATAGAAATACACATGTTTCTCATCATCATTTACCTCTACGAGCTCGTTCCTCTCGTTGAGCTGGTAAAGGTTCCCGTCGCTGCGAGAGTATAATTTCCTACCGTATTTATCGACTGTGAATTCGCCAACATCATCAGTAAATACTTCTTTCATGTCTACAGCACTCAATATCGATATAATCGACTTCCCAGTTGGGTCGTCATTATTTAAAGCATTGTCCCAAAGTTTTACCAATCTTTCCACAAGCCTACAACGGTCCTCTTCTGGAAGGTTGTGGTTAAAAATGTGGAGTTCCGTGCTATCCAAGACTTCGTCTTCCTCAAGTACTCTACTTTGTTCCATTTTAAGCGCGTTGAGTGACATTTTTAGATTTTCTAACGACTGTAGTCGTTCCTCCAAATAAATCACCTTATGTTGGAGCGCAAGTACTGCTGACGATTTCTTTTCCTGTAATCGGCTTATGCGGTCTTCTAGCGTTTTAATTTTCTCAACTACTTTGCTTACTTCTAACTCGTGACTTGCGTTGAAGCGTACCATTGAGCTTAACAATTTGCCCTTGCTTTCCATTCGTTCTATTATTTCTGGGGCTTCAGGCAACGAGCTACCGGCCACTTCGTCTATGATTTGCTTCAAAGTCTTCGTGAGGTCGCTCGGCAGTTGTGGCACGTGTAAATGAATGACTTTGCAAAACTGAATGGCTAGGCTGTCGTTGATTCTGTCCAACCAATTTAAAAGCTCGTCGATTTCGTAGTTTAATTTGACGGCATATTCGTAGTTATCTACTTGGATCTTGAAGCAATGCTTCTTATCATGCAGGACGGAGATAACGGTTTCCTTCATGTCGTTCATTATTTCTAGATCAGCCTGCATGATCAGTCGGTCTTGCGTCGGCATGGTGGCTCTTAATTGTTGAATGAAGTTGTTAAAATATGAAAATCTATTGTTCATAGATCTTATCGTGTATTCTAAGGCATTGAGAATGACTTCTCGGGGCGTGTCTTTTATTCTTTTTCTGAAGTCCTCTATGTCTTTCACAGCTTGCAGCCACTGTAGGTGGAAATTGTTGATGATTTCGGCGACTTGGCGGGAGTCGGCGTCCTGTAGCAAGGCTGTGCGGATTTCGAGCAACGATCTGTATATTCCATCAGCATAATCCTTCGACGTCACCAGAATCACGGGACTTTCGAACGACCTTTTTATTTCTTTAGCAATATTGAAGAGGAAAGCGATTGCTTCGTATTTATCCATCGCATTTAAAATAAATGTAACAAAAACTGTAAAAAAATGTACGAAATAAAATTAGACTTGTCAAAATTGTCCGATGAAGTTATAAATGTCATGTCATAAAGGCATTTTTAATTTTTATTTACGGATTACGGGCACAGAATATAGTTAACATTCACGCAGGTTCACTTCAAAAGATCTGCCTAGGGAGGCCTAGGGTCTAGTCATAGGTACCTATACTTAGTAAAAGTTCACTGACGACTTTCGATAAGTGCCTAGATTTATAAATTAGCACCGGTCTACTTTGCACCCGTAGGTCTTAGTTTGTAACTAACGAGTAATTTGTGATTTAATGCCAATGGGCATTCTCTGCCTGGCAGACTAAAAAATTTACGTGGTGCGAAAAGGCGATTTACTTTATTTGGAGGTTTTTTCTTTTTTTACTCAATTTAAGTTAATACAGGCAATCGCTATTAATAGCAATAGAATACGATTTCCATAGGTATTATATTTAATTAGCGATAATGTTCCCCATTCGATTCTGGTACAGTCATATCCTTTTACATGACCTTACTAGTAAGTAAGTATGTATAATTGTGGTATAAACGTCTCTATAAATACTATAGTATATCTACAATACTACGTTACGCTACGTCGCCTTATCTAGGTCGTAAAACATAATACCTAAACCCAACCCGGCAAGACTAACGACCCTATAACATCGGTTTAATTCACGAAAACAGTATCGGCGTAACGTAAAGGTTCGAGTGTTTTCCCATCGCGACCGTTCTGGGGATAAATCAAAGGTCTGGAGCTTTCCCGTCCGGGGCGGCGACCGAGCTCGGGCCCGGTCTTAATGGAAGCCGGCTCGCGCAGCCCCGCGCCCCACTCGGATTCGGAAGCTGGCGGCAGTTTCTCGCGACGCGCCGCCGACACCACACGTCGGACGACACTCCACCACACCATTGTACGTCCTTTTACAGTGCATTCTCAATCTAAAACCAAAATTAGTGCTTGTTTCATTAATGATATCATGTGCGAATACGGAGAAACGGAGGGCGGGCGCGTAGGGCGCGACGCTTTGACCTGGGCGTAGTACGCGGGCGGAGGCTGCGCAGCATCCGCTCGCCATGTTTCACATCTACCCGACGCTCGGGAACGCCGGACCTGACATCCCGGAGGAGATAACTATTTATTAAAACCATCCTAACAAAGGATCCGAAAGCTAGACTTCGCGCCTTTTTTAATTGTATGGTATTTCAGTTGTTGTGTCAAATACCTTGTAAGCGGTTTCAGCTACGCCCTGCGATGCGCCTTTCAAACTGAAACGGGCATTCTCATTTTCCTGAATGGCGAAATATTTTTACTACTTACTTACATTATTATTTTCGCTTTGTGAACGTTCCCATTGCGAATAAACTATCATGTCCGGTTTTCAGGAATTGCAACTATCTTGAAATTCTTTAGAATTTTAATGGAAATTACTGAAGAGTCAAAAGCATCAATGTTATTGAGAAATGTATTACATTGTGCACCTGAAACAACAAAAACACTTACTCAAGAACACGACCGGTTTTCAGTAGAATACTGCTGGTTTACACGCATCAACCCGTTTTAGTTACAATCAGACAGATATGTAATCAGATGGTAATTAACACAACACATAAGTATAACAATATGTGTATATTAATACTCGTATTCGGTTGATGGTTTCTACAGCTTGTTCTATTTGATATTCAACGCGGAGTCGAAATTCATTCATTCATTAGCAGGAGCGAAACAAAGGCACCATAATTAGGAATTTTCTCTTCTGATAAGCTATAACGTTTCTTCAGATTTAATGTAAAACTTTTCTATCGATGTATTCCTGCACATTCCTGTCTTTATGTCTGGGATTCTGTTCAAAAATCTTAAACACATTTTCAATCATTAAAATCAATGACAATTATTATAAGTAAGATAAAAAGGATATCTAAAACTAGAGAAACGCGAAGATTACAACATCATTCAATAATTCAGTTCACACTTTCAATTATTTAAATATTCTGACCGCCAGACGTATCAATCCGCCATATTGCACTTCTTGACTAATTTAGCGATGTTAAGTCAATAAGCTATGCAAGTTGCGTTCTTGAATATATTTACTTAGGTATATGATAAAAGTATACTATGTTTGACGGTGTGAGTGAGGCCACACTATCAGTAGACAGAACCTGAAATGCAATTAAGCATACTAGTGTGAAATTACCTAATAAACAAGTTATTGTCTGAGACCTGCTTTGCTTATCTATAACGTTGATAATGTGAATATTGTTTTGTAACTAAATTAGTTTGAAGTTAATTGGAAAATTTGCGGAAAAGTTACGTATTATTTAGTCAGTTCACAGTTCCTTTAAAGAGCCGGTAGTTAGAACGTGACGCGACTCTATAATTTACGTCACCTTAAAGTTTATTTTTAAGTAAATACATGCCAATCACTTTCACAGCATGGAATGGGACAGTAATAAAAGGCACCATAATCAGATTTATGTCAATAAGTACATAGCATCTCCCACTAAACCAATTAATCCCTGAAAAGCGTGCAGTTGTTTTATTCAAAATTATACTACAATTAACAAAAGTTTTTGATAAGATGCTGTAATATTTACCTATGCTATCTTTATCTCACGTTAGTGGGACAATGACCTCATGTACCTAAGTGAAAGATTGAGGTCTGATTCAAAGAAAGAACGATTGCGTATCTCTACATTAGATACTAAAAAGAAACCTTAAAAAGTCACAAAAAACTGAAAATTCACCTTAATATAGTGGAAAGGAGTGAACCCAAAGATCAAAATTGCATAAAGTCGGCTACTTTTGCACCTACTTTAGTAAGTCGCCCTCTTAAAATTCGTTAGTGCTCTGAGATTTTAGGAGTTCTTGGCATTTTGCCATTTACGACTCTAACTTACCGCCAACCGCTCTGTCAAAGGTAAATTTAATTCCTTCCGTGTATTTTTAAGCTTAATTATCCTGGATGATTAAAAAGCGTTCATTGTTATTGACGATATTAATTAATAATTGAAAGCTTTGCTTTATTTATACGTCCCACGACATGTTACGACTTAATTATCCAATTAATTACTTACTTCGACCTTGTTTTATTGGTCGCCTTGAACTCTAGAACTCTGTTGAACTTTAATAAGTTTTGAACATTTTAGATAAATCTCAATAACAGTTGTTAACAAACAAGAGTGTATTTGGTTAACATCGGAGAAGTTTTTAGCCTTACTCACCTGATGGAAATGGTGGAAGGAGCTTAGAAAATTAAAGAATTTTAATGATATTTAATAGATTTTAGCTTATCACAAAAAATATGCAACGAATGATTGCTCTTTCCTTTTCAACCGAAACTGCGGAAAGACATTCCCCTACTGGACCTCTCTCCTAATGATTCCTAAAAAATACAGTTTTAGCACTTTTAGTGATCTGAAGGTTATCTTAGGATAGGTTTATGCCCTTCGCTTTTCTCTTTATATAGATCTAGGTATCCTATATTCACTCCACTGCGTATGAACACGTGGCCACGAAGATCTATTTGCGTTCAAAGTATTCAACCATAAAGTCTCGGTCACTAGCCATGTAAAGGCTATCTAATATCACTTTCACCTACTTCATCCACAGCTTGTCCGACTTACATAAACTCCGTTTATAGCTCCTAAACAGATTGCTTATAGGGTTATAATAAGGAAGTTAGAGTGGGAGGCGAGGTGTTAGTGTTAACCACACTGGGTCCATTCATACATTGAAAAAATAAAAATAGGCATGTCAATGATTTGCCTTTAGGTATAGAGAAATAGGTACATTTAATATTAACTTGGCATGGTCCATTTTATGCGGTTTTATCGTTAGGTAGCGATGTCTTTCAGGCAACTAATAGCTTCGGCGATACATACCTTATCAATGATGATTTGCTGAATTTGTGAAATATTAGATTTTAGTAGTGTTACCTGTAACTGAAGCTTCTTTTGATATATTCTGTTCTATTTGTTTAGTATTTATCTAAGTAGGTAGTAACTAGTCGATACTTAATTTTAAAGCAACTAAGATTTTGACAATGTAGGTCAGGATTTTTGACTTCGTTAAGTAGCTCAAGGTACAATTTCTTTACATATAAAAGCCTGTTCGTACGAATAATTACTGATGATTCATCTTAACACATAACACACAATTGATAAGATGAAGATGCAAACAATTAGTTATGACAAACAATTACATCAGTCTCATTAAAATAGCGGGCAATAAGTTGTTACTTTCAAAAAACAGACCGAGTTGGAACAATATGTTTAGTTTTAGACAATAATACAGAGTTCATTTAGCAGGGTAGCCTTAAAAATACATATTAATAAATAAAATCTTGCGGTGCCAACTAAACCCAATCTTAACAATCCAGAGTTGTTGAAATAAAAATACATTAGTCCTTTTTAAAGTAACAAATAAACAGAGAGAAAGATTCAGCTCGCATAACACTTTCACGTTGCACGCGCCTTACTCGCTTTTGCAATAGTAAGCAGCCAAATGTTTATTGATATTTTATTTGTCATCCTACTGAATTTGTATTCCTGTGGCGCGTCTGCCAGTGAGATGCAATTCTGTCGAAATGCATCCGTACGTAGCCTGCATTTGGTAGAACCTATGTTTTTGGAGCGACTCCAACTGGTCTAGTTTAAATTTTAATAAAGCATTATCAGAAATGCATTTCGTACAAACATTGTTTTAGTTGAACGGAGTTCTTGAAGCGTTTTCAAATAGCATGTTACCTGTAAGTAAATAATATTATTTAAACAGTTTTATTACGAATTTTACACATACCTACGGGAAATCACGACTAAAGGTCGTTCTTCTGGAGAGGCCTCGTGGGATAGGTACATAGAAAATGTAGAGACCTCTTCGGGATACGGTAATGTGTTGGGATATATAGCTCCCAGTGGATTTAGCATAGAAGATTTTCACTGTTTTTGCGATATAGGAGAGCATCTAAGTTCCACTATGAAGGATAGTGCACTAATCCCATGAAACCGTGGGGAGCAAGGACTATTGTAAGCGAGATTAGCAGGGGTCACGGGGAATGCTTTACATTTTGGATCGGAGTCATCTATGATATGAAAGTAAGGGAAAATTACTATTAAAGTTAAACTCTACCGGGTTCATGGCATTTTCAGGATTCGCTGGTTATACCGCTGCTTACAGAAGACGGTTACTTGTCGTTTTTTATATGAGTCGTTCTTTTAAAATCCGACATTGAAATAACACCAAAATTTTACACTCTCAACTTGCTCAAAGTCCTTCATCTCCAATACTGTAAATCTAAATAATAGAAGTTGAATGTCAACTATGTTCTCTAGTGCAAGTCACCTAGAAACCAATATTGGCTGAAGTGTCACTTGACACTTTTAACGCTGCAACGAACAAAGGCTACCGATTAAGTTTAGTCATACTTTTCCAATAGGCTGCTGTTAGCCCGATATCCAACTTGCGTCACAGTCTTAATTAAAGATTGCAGGATTTACGCCTATCTGAATTTTGTTATAAAAATACATGAGCATCATACATCAGATAACTTTACCGTCTACTAATTAAATTAATCTGGGGATAAAGATAAACCTTAATTGCTAAACTTGCAAGTATTTTTTCTTTGTAGGTGTCCTAGTTAAATGGAGCCCTAGTAGATACGTGACGTGACATATAACGATCTATAACTTTTGCACCACTTAGGGTGGATTCGACCAAACAAGAGTAAATATTTATCTTAGAATAAATCGTCAGTTTTGACATATTTCCCATAATGAAACAGTCAATGTGTCAGTTATACCAGGAGTTATTCTCGGATAAAAGTTTGGTCGAATCGGGCCATAGAGAGCACAATAGCTAATTTTGTGATATGGCACCCTTCATTCGAACCTAGCATTTACTTTTTTTTTTCATTTT